CTGTTTCACTCTTATACTTGTCAAACTTTATTGATTCTCTTCACTCATCTTCTTGTCTACCTTTGTGTGCTACTTGGAACATGGCAACTCGAACTGGTGCACTTCGGTGCCAAGTACTGTGTTGATTTCAAACAGACAGACAGACCTTCAGAATGCATAGAAATGGTATACTGTACATCTGAGTCGATTTCATTCCTCTGTAGAGAGATAACGCACAGTCGGTGACTACGTTGTTATTTCATTTCACTATTTCATGTTTCTCATCACATTTGTCTCTTACATTATCACTTATATATATATATATATATATATATATTAAATTTGTGCATATGTCATCATAATTTGATTAAATTTTATCAGGTGGGAAACTTTTGTTATGCATACAATTTTTATTCATCTTTTAAAATAGTAACTATACCTTTAGATCGGATGACAATCCGTATTTCAGTGTTTTGTATGTTGAAGGTCTGTGTGTATCTGTGTATGGGTGTTGTGACCTATTAGCTTAATCACACTATGAACGACAACCAACAAATTCGAGGTATAGTTTCGAAACTCCCCTTGGCCTATTGAAGTCTCAAAACAACCACGTAGAGTATCATTATTCCTTATGTAATAATTGTGTGACATATACAGCCCGTAACTGGGTAAACTACGTTGTATGAATGTTTGGCCTGCGATTGGCTTCCGCTAAATGTAAGATGATGTTACAGGACTGACAGGACTACACTGTCTCTTAGTTTAGAAATAGGGAGCGAAGTGGTTGGTGGAGCACGTTGACCGCTTCACTTATTTGGGAAGTACCATCAGCCAGTGTTAACGCGTTGATCTCTGACGAAATCTCAGCACCGATACAGAGGGCTAGTTTCGCATATGCCAGTTTACGCCATCTCTGGCGTAGACGTGATATCCGGCTGGCTATCGACCAAAGGGCAGGTGTACTGCCCATCAGTCTGCTCCGTCCTCCTTTATGGTCAGCTGTGAAACCTGGCCATTGAGAGTAGAAGACCCGAAAAGATTAGTTGTCTTTGATCATAGGGCCTGCGTTCTATCTCTCGTGTGAAGTGGTATAATAAGGTGAGCAATATTGAGGTTAGGCTTTGGTTAAGTGCTAGGTAAGGAGGGAAAATCAATCGACGATGTTGTGAAATTACATCGACTGAGATGGTTAGGACATTTGTTACGTATGCTGTATGCCTAGTCATCGCCTTCCTCTATGGGCAATGTTAGCTGATATAGGGTCAGGCTGGAAAAGAGCTAGCGACAGTCAAACCAAAACATGGCACTAGTCAATGAAATCTACAACAGTTAGTCTAAGCCAGCCACGTGGGAAGGTGTAGACTTCTTGACTGGTTGGGGTCTTCGAGATGGTAAAAACCAATGAAGGCTGGAAACAATTAGTGACATGGCTCAAAATTGTTTTCAATGGCTAACGCAGATCCATCCACTCCTTGTGACGTATGATTTCCAATGAAACTGTTTTGTTCTTCGTTATTACTATTCCTTTGTCTCACACCTCTGTTTACTGTCTCTATTGAGCATTTCTTCTACTTGGTTCTCTTGTTGTGTGGGCTACATGAAGGGAGTGTGGCGACTTGAACTCGTGCACATCGGTGTAAAGTTCTATGTCTAAAACAGGCAGACAGGCAGACACAACCGATGAGTTGGACATTAATGAATAATCAAGTGTGGGATTCGAAACTGTTGAAGTGTAGGAGAGTATTATCATTATTATTATTGTTTCCTAGGGTTTCGAGTGGAACACGTAGGGCGTCAACAACACATCTCCACTTTGTCCTATTCTCTGTGTTCCTCTTCAGGTTGTCACTCGATTACCTGTAATCTCACATCTCCTGTCACGATCTGCTGCATGTCTACCACGAATCAACTACACCTAACTTGTCGTTTCTCATTCGGGTTCTACTCTAACGATGTCCTGGCTAGCGCGCAATGTGATTTTACGGCTTTCTCAGAGTGTGCCTAGTCCATCTCCACCTTTGGTATATTTGTTGATTAATAGGTCTTTGATTAGTTTATTCCCATAGTTTCTTGTTGCTAATTTTTTTTTGACCAGACATTCCATCTTCAATATGGAACCAGCGAACGTGGCAGTTATTCATAAAAGTCTGTAACTTATTGGAAATGCTTTTCGTAATTCGAAAGAAAATTTTCTGACGTGTATATCAGGACTGACTGACTTAACATGGGTCTTAAAAATTCGGATTTCGTTGTTTTTTGTACTTATTCTGGTTTTGATATCTTCATGCGTGCGAAAACTAGATGTAGTTGGAACGACATAGTAGAGTGCTTCCCGTATGTACTGGATGTGTGTCTGTCGGTTAAAGGCTTCTGTTAACCCACTTCGACAAAATAATATAATTCACCATGTGGGTGAAACTAGTAGATCGAAGATATTTAAGTTATCAAAACACAAGAAGTTATCTAAGGTTTGAATGACACCTCAGGAATATAAGTAATTTAGATAGAAAAATAAAAACTCAGCTATTGCAGTGCATACATTAACACACAGTCGAATCGAACAGAGTTATAATTCAAAAAGTAATATAGGTAGATGGAATTAGACGTGCTGGATCTTTGTTCATCGAGTCTACTCACCCAACACATGCAATAGGAATGACTCATCACTAATATGAGAGATATGGAAAATATTACTGTCAATCAAATGGCGAAAAGCTAGAAAATTGTGTGAGTAGTAACCTGATATGTTTGTTTATGAACAGCGATAAATTGTACTCAAGGCGTCATCATTAGTAGATTTTACTGTATAACACAATGAGATTTCTCTATGATGGAATTTATACCTCTACCACAGTGCTAAAGTTCTATTCTTATATCAATGGATATGTTTCTTCTTTATGTGGTGACAAACAAAACTTCTAAAGAGTTATAAATAGTTTAAGTAGTTGTAAAAAGAAATTTATCAAATCAAAGTGACCTTTATTGTAGATAGTTGTGAAATCACACTCTTTTTGTGATGAAAGGATAATTACACTACTCGACTTCTCCTTGGTTGAAATAGTTAGAGTGGTATTCCGCTACAGAATCCACTGCTTTCTTTAGTCCTATACGTTCCCAGTGGAACATAGGCCTTGAAACTAGAGGCTTGAAGTCTCGGTAGCAGTGGTGTTTATTTTTGCAAGATGGGGTTGCTAGCCTCATATCCAACCTTCCCTCTTTACCATTCTTATTATTATCTTAGCGAGGTAAAGGAGTGAGTCCGTGGCCGGGTATCGAACCCCGGACCACATGTGTGGTCGGCAAGCATTCTACCTCTGTGCCATCGACGCACCACAGAGTCCACTAGTCGAGGTAATACGCTCCCGATGATGCACTTTAAATTGTATCAAAAACTACGTTTTGCAAGTAAATAGGAAGTTACTTATGATGTGAGGAGGGCTTAGGAAGGCGAGCTGAATACCATAGTTCTGTTCCTTCAGGGTTGCTGATGATTTCCAGGAAGCAAAAGGACATCTTGACGTTTTTTATAGTCAATCAACAACCTGATATTGTTTGACAGTAAAGTAGTATTTATCCCAAATGCATCCTGCTTGTTATTTGAAATCATTCCTTTGAGTTTCCAGTGGAATATAGAGCTTCATCTTAGTAGTTTCATCAATCCGACCTTCCTTCTTCAACAACGGGCTTATGATTAGCTAGGCGAGGTTAAGTAGTGTATCGGCTGAGGATCGAACCCTTGACCTTGTGTATCGTTAGTAAGTAATCTACCTTTGAACTTCTCCCCTCCCATCCCTCAAATGCATAATCAAGGGCCCTGTTCGATTGGTTTTGCTTATTAGGTTTTAAATGCTTTTTTTGGTGAACATATTACGCCTGAATAATATTTGATTATGTGAATCATTTTGTGAGAATTTCTCATCATTGCTTTGATAACAGGATAGATTGTCTGATAGTACACTTAACTGTCACTCACGAATCACATGTGAAATCGGATATTATTTATGATGCAAGGAACTCCTGTGTCATCTAACATATTTAAGTGGCATTGGTATTGAATACGCTAAATCCTTGGGTCGTTCGCTCTCAGACTAAGAATATACACATTCAGATTCTTTGATTGAAGATAGAAGGCTGGAAGCCTATGTTAGTCCTTGTTTTCTAATAAATTTCTGTTCTTTTCCAAATCCTTCTTGAACAAATGAATTAAGGGCTCTGCCACCAATTCTTCTGGGAGTCTGTTCCAGGATTGTATGACTCAGAGATATAGTTCGTCCTAGGCTTTCAAAGTCTCCTGCCATGTTCTCTGAAGTGTTCCGGCCTAGTGGGAAGGTGAAAAGAGAAAAAAACATCAGGTCCCCGTAGTCATATTATGTAAAGTTTTAAAACATTGTAATGATATCTCTCTGCCTACGTACGGTATGATAAAGGGGAAGAGATTTAAACTGTCTAGGTTTCCAAGAATCCTACGTGTTGCCTTTCTTTGAACGCTTTCTAGAATGTGTGAGTCCCTCTTAAGACAAGGACTGGCTGTCTGGATTCGGTTCTCCGATATTGTCTTCACCAGAGTTTTGTATGAAAAAGTGGATATATCTGTGCGTCGGTGTCACAGCAGTTAGGACGCTCGCCGATCATGCACATGGTCCGAGGTTCGATCCCCGGCCGACGTACTCCTTTACCTTGCTAAGCCAGAAATAATGCTGGTAAAGAGGAAGGTTGGGCATGAGGTTAGCAACCCCATCCTGTAAAAATAAACACTGCTACAGAAACTTCAAGCCACTAGCTTGAGGCCCTATGTTCCACTGGGAACGTGAAGGAAAGAAAAAGTGCATATATCTCTGGTCCTACTAAACACTGTGAAACTACCAGATGCCACCGCGTGTCGTTGTGCTGCCGTTTTTTCAAGTCATAAAGAAAGTTAAGCGTCTCTGACTACCGTCTCGTTGGTGTCGTTTTCGTATTTTTGTTGTTCATATCAATATTCTTATAAAGTTGTATGCGTATATATTTCCTTTTTTTTACAGACAGGTAGTCGACTACCCTTATCTAGAATCCCATTAGACTGTTACCTCTCTCCTAACTGTGAAGGTGAAGAAGAAGGAGTCAATGAGAATAATTTTATTCTACCGTATACAAATATAATTCGTTGGCATGGTCCTTACTTTGATTGGTTATCAACGTTGGCGCCTGCTGCTTCACCGTATCTACCACAGGCGGGTGATCGTGTTGTCTACCTATATCGTGGTCATCAAGATTACTTATCTAAAGCCTGGGAATGTGGAAGTCTACCGTTGATGGAAAGTTTAGCCAAAGAGGGAAATAATAGGTCATCGCCACAACAGCAGCAGCAATCACCTTGGATAGTTTGGCCTGGTATACCTGTAAGTTTGAAGTTTTCCCTGCTTCTTATAAAGTGAATGTTTGTGTATATATGTGATGATCAGTTCCTAGATTATTAGTGCCTACGTCCTTTGTGTATACATTGGGTAACAAGTGGTTAAAGTCGTGCACTGATTAATTTTCCAGTAAATAAGACCTATGATGCAGACAGTTAACTGAGATTATAGTCAATTTTATCGTTACCCGTGAAGAGAACTCTTGATTTCATTGACTTTTTCACTAAGGTTTCCTTTCTCACTCATCATTTACGGTCATATGACTTATAACTATTCTTATCCTGGATAATAATGATTTATCTTTGATTATAACTTGATTCCACTCCGTATTCTTGGTACAAATATGGTATTCTCATCATGTGATATCGGTAGCCCAAGTTTTGCAGGCCGACCATAAATATCAGGTGTGTTTAGGCAGGGTATCGAATTCCGGACTATGTGGATGGTCGGTGAGAGTCCTAACTGTTGTGTTACTGACGCACAATGATGCAAAAGGTTAAGTGGAATAAATCAAATGAAACCTAACATTATGGGAATACTGGCCTATGAACCCCACCTATTTTATGATTGCTACGGAAATACTACGCAGTCGTCCAGGCTGACGAAGGTGGAGCAGAACTTACACCCGGGACTTATTAACTGAAAGCTTATTGATTAAGCCAATGAGTTACATCTATGCATTGCGCTTTTTTATTCCTTCACGTTCCTAGTGGAACATTGGGCTTAAAGTTTTGGTAGCAGTGGTAGTAATTTTTACGGGATGGGGTTGTTAGCCCCTCATGCCCAACCTTTCTTCTTTACCAGTCTTATTACTAGCTTAGTGAGGTAAAGGAGTACGTCGGCCGGGGATCGAACCCCGAACCACCTGAGTGATTGGCGACTATTCTACTGCCGTATCGCCGACGCACTCTCTGCATTGCGCTACACCATCAAAATCACACGAACTAGTCGAATCATCTAGTACCTGTACAATGCAAGTGCATTCCCTATGTCGGTCAGGCGATGTCAAGTAGCGATAATGAGGCCCTCCAAATTACAATCTGCATGCATCGTTTAAAAAAGATGTAAGAGTTTTGAATAGTATTCGACTTTGCGCAAGATCAATAGATTTCCTATCAGTCGTGTTATCCAGCCGAAAGTTAGGACGTGGAGAACTTACCTGTATAATAATAATAATAACAGTGATGGGAAGTTAAGGAAATGAAGGTACATGGTAATCAGGAAAGAATTGTATGCCTATGGATGTGTGTGTGTGTGTGCGGTTATCACGTTACATCCCCCCACACACACACACACTTAAAGTTGAAAGCATACTGACAGTCAAAAGTAAATGAGAAAAGTGAGCTAAAGTTACTAGTTGCTTACGAGTAGTATAGTAATAAGAGCAGTCAAATACCATAATTTATTGTAATGTAATATGTCCGCTGTTACATTTTCTTGTTTATGATGGACAATATTATATTCGCGTGTTATAGTTAGACTTAAACCTTAGAATCAATGATCCGTGTATAACCACTTCGCCTAGGCAGGAAGCCAGGATTCGAGTGTCTGAGTTGAGTCACGCTGAGTATAATGATGATGACCTCGGCCTTGAGGGAGTAAAGTGGTCATGTGGTGTTTGGTTAATTTCGATATGACTGACAAGCACTGCTAGTTGGTATGAAGGTTCTACAACTGCTTTCTGACAGAGAGCTAATACGTGGAAGCGGTGTCCGGGCTTGTTTGTCGCAAAGATCTATTTAGGTACACTGGTTGAAATAAATGGTCCTACCTTGCCTTGTCTGGAGTGTGATTAGACTAAAAACAGTTACCATCACAGTATTAATCAATCGCACTATATTGCGGGGGTGGGGGTTGAAAGCGAAATCGTACTGGCAGGGAATAAAGATCTAAGGTGTTTCCCTCGAATGGCCAATAATCTGGCTATTCTGTCTCTCAACTCTGACGAGGTAAGAAAATGTCGTAGTCTAAAGTTCTACATCTCGACTTGCTTAGCGGTGGGTCGTAGCCAGGGGTTAGATCTTCGTACGGACACATGAAAAAACTGTCTTCTAAGACGCCATATTTCTATATCTGAAGGTGACATTTGATTTGTCGACCGAGGGGTGCTGTATCAATGTCTTGCCAGGAAGAGGGTGCTGACGAAGTATAACACACTAATCCAGGCACTCTACTCGAACTTATCCAGTAGTTGTAGAGCTTATGGGAAGTTGTCATCTAGTGTGGTGATAAGCAGTGTTGTCCGTCAGGGGTGCCTACTATCCCCATCTCTGTTTACTGTCATTATAGATGTACAAATGGAGCTGACCCGAACTGACTTCAGCGACCTAGGGATTGACTTGTAACCTGGGAATAGTCTTGATGACTTAGGATATGAGAGTAACATAGTTCTCCTGTCAGATGTAAGACGATGATTCAGGACTAGACTACACTGATTCCTAGTTTCATGATAAGGAGTAAAGTGGTAGAGCATGTCGACCGCCTTACTTACTTGAGACGTTGCCTAAACCTTAAAAGACCGATTGTTGACGAAACCTCATTACGGATATGAATGGCTTGTGTAGCATTCGCCAACTTATATCCTCTCTGGTGTAGACCGGATATTTTACTATCAGTCAAATGACTCCGTCCTCCATTATGACTCGGAGACATGGCTACTGGAAGTGAAAGGTGTGAAAAAAATTAGCCATCTTTGACCATATCTAGCGGCATTGTGTTCCTTGTGTCATGTGGTATAATATAGTTGTGTGGTATGATGATATAGCTTGGCGGTGGGTTCGTACCGCTTGAGAGTTTCAGACTAGGAGGATAAGAACAGCTGGCTGTCCGGTACTTACTGATTGTCTGTCTGTTTTCGACATAGAACTTTGCACAAATGTGCGGAAGTTCAAGTCGCCACATTCCGTGTAGCACGCGAAGCAAGAGAAGAAAGTACAAGAAAAGCATAATAGAAACAGTGAGCAGAGTTGTGAGACAAAGGATTAATAAAGAAATACAAGACAGTTTCATTGAAGATCATAAGTCACAGTGAGTGGATTTATCTGCGCTGGCCACTGAGAACGGTTTTGAGCCATGTCACCAATTGTTTCCAACCATAGATTTTTACCGTCCCTAGGACCCCAGCCTGGAAGAGAACCATTTGATAACCAATCAGTAAGTGATCTTCAATGAAACTGAGTAATAAAGAAATACAAAACAGTTTCATTGAAGATCACTTACTGATTGGTTACCAAATGGTTCTCTTATCGATATCAGCTTTATGATAAGACCCTGTCACTGGGTATTGAGTTTTTAGCCTCCTGTCACTAACTGAGAGATCATGTTAAAATTAGCAAGTATGTTGGAGAATTGTTCTGCACATAAACTTAATGTTGATTTCTCAAGGCTGTACTCACGAAGATGATAAGAAGAAGTCAACGAAATAAACAATAATGGTACTGTCTTATTCTACGCAAAGGGGAACGAATGTATTAACATGCGAAGAGATTCATCGTGCTGAAGTTTCTGTAGCAACTTTGTGTACAGGGTGGCGTTGCTAGCCTTATGCCTGAGAAAGGAATTGTTACATTAAGATGAAGTTTAGAGAGAAGTGACCTTTTGGGTTGCTCCCCTTAAGTGAACACAGATAAAACGGAGGTCATGAAGATTTCTGGCCAACAACAACAACAGACAAAAATCAGCCAGCACAAATTAGAGGAACCTGAAAGAAACAACCTTCTTCAGCTACTTGGGAAGCATCATTTCAACTACAGCCGGACGGTACGGACGAGGATATCAAAGCTAGAATCGGAAAAGCAAGACAAGCTTTCATTACTCTCAAATCTGTGTGGACGTCAACAGCACTCAGCTTAAAAATGAAAATAAGATCCGGATTTTCAACTCCAATGTAAAATCAGTGCTTCTATACGGATGAGAAACTTGGCGAGTCATGAGGAGCATCTCAAACAAACTTCAGACCTTCATTAACAGTTGTCTTCGCTCAATACTGAAGATCAGATGGCCGGCTAGAAAAGATCAGAAACAGGGAGGTATCTCTGGCGATGAGCGAACCAACCCATCAGGAACCGATTGTGAAACGAATAGGCAGGAAGAAATGGAGATGGATTGGCTGGCCATACGCTGACGAAACCATCAAGTGAGTGACATCACTAGACAAGCCATGGCTCGAGTGGAACGTGAAAGGGAAGTGGCGAGTTGGTCGTCAGCGTGAGGGTGACTTGGAGGAGGTCATGTGAAGAGGAGATGAAAGCATGTGGACAGACTTGGAGCGGGGTGAAAACGTTGGCAGAAAACCGAAGGCAATGGAGATGCGCAGCTGAAGCCCTATGTTCCTCTAGGAATTAAAGGATATAATGATAATAATAATGTATTAACATATTTATACATGCATACTCATACTCTTCTGTTCCTCTGTTTTATTTTATAGCAATTCTTATGTTGTACTGTGGTCAAAATCACTTATCATATTGTACGTATTGCTGGTAGTCAATCGCATTCATCACGTCCCAATACACGTTACAAGAAGACAAGAAAAAATTCATATACTACGAAGTGTCTTCGACAATCACAACAATTAGTTAACTTGAAAGATTTAAATTCCACCTGCAATGATGAAGATCATAAATTTCCATTGTCCTCCGCCTCGTCCTCGTCGTCGACGTCATCATCCTCATCATCAGGGAAAAGTGAATGTCCAGTCGCATCGACTAGTTTCACGAATACATGTACACACTCACCTTTGCCATCTTCATCAGCCTATGACAGTGGGGACAGTTTTGTTCGATTGATCACGCTACACCTGGAAATTGAACAAGAGCAACCTTACAAGAATTTAAAGTGTTATAATAATAATAATAATAGCTCCGGTGATGGATATTATTCTCACAATTGTAAAGAACACCAGCCTACAACCATCTATGTCACTTACCATGATGTTGATGGAATTTTAGAATTTATTTTTCTTCGTCGGATATTTGATGCAGCTTTGAAAAGAAAATGGAAACCAGGTAGGTAGGCTGGTTATTTTGTTATATCAGAAATGTAGTTGTGTGGAATTCAGCGCTATTTTTGTATGAGTATGTTTTCTTTTGGATTGATAGAGATGTGTTATGTTTATCAGCTTTGAATTGTTATGGTGGTCAAACCAAAAAAATGGCTTCATCAGTCAGCAAGTTGGATGTGAGGAAAAATACTCGCCGAAGACATTGGCTAGCGGTTGCGCTATATCGTCAATTGGCAGAAGTTAGAATTCATGGGCTGGCCATTGGATCGGGTCCCGGTGGCTTAATGGTATACGAGCTAGCTCGCCTTGTAACCAGAAGGTCCTGGGTTCGACCCTTGGCGTGGCTGTGGGTTCGTACTGATGAAGAGTCCTGATCTAGGACGAAACAGCTGACTGTCCAGTACTCTCTGCAGGTTTTCCAATGGTTCTTCAACCAATCAGCTCATGATGAAATCCTGTAACAAATCCATAGGAGTTACTTTGAGTCAGCTAGCCAGCCACTGATTTTTCTGATATTCAGTGTGTATTTTAGTGTTGATGCTATGGAATTGTAATCCATTGATTTTATTACTAATTGATTCGGTGTTATTTAAACAACATTATTGTGGTTAATGACACTAATTCATTCACTATTATGGATGCATATAACTGTAAAGCCTGATGATGAAGTTATCGAAAAGAATATTCTGTGTTCATTGTAAGCATTCTTTTAAAAACAATATAACAATTAAAAAATATATTTAGGGTCGTTCACTTGGATTCCCACAGTAAGTTGATGATGCCTTGTCGTATACTCTCTTCATTACATAAAATGTGTACCTTCCAAGTAAGGTATTGTAGAGTTCTTCTACTTAATCGTCCTGGCATATAGAGTAGTATATAGAGTTGCTTATAGTTTCACCTACCTGATGAGATACTGCACCATGGAGAAAGAGGCTTGTCCAGAGAGGGTTCTCAGAGTCTGACTGGATAATATTTCCTAATTCCCTTCAGGAGTTTATGTGTCTATCTACAAAAGTATTACGAAGTTGGTTTAGCGACATTCCAGTCACCCCAAGCAGTGTGTAACAAAGTCTTTCTTAATTAGCCTAGAAAAGGTGTAGGTGGGATGATGTGTAGCAGTAAAGAAAGGTAGGCAGAATATAAGAATTAACAAACTTAGAAACTACACACAGAATGATTGCCAGATTGTCTTAACTTCCTTATGTGGAACGTTATACGAAATATCTTCCTAGAAGCTAACATCATGTGGGAAGACCAGGAAACAGCGATAGGAAATACACAATCTAAAGAAGTATTTAATATTCGATGTACTTCCAACTTCATTGCCATCTTTGAGTAATGGAATCATGCGAACTAACCAGTTCCTACATGAATCCTATCACAGTAGTAGTGTAACAACAGAAGACAAGGATCAGGCAACAGATCGTTTATCAAGGAAATCAAGTCTTATTTATAGATTTTTATCTACATTATTGGTCGTTATTATTAACAGAGAAACAGTGTCTTCTGATTGGTTGTTTTCTCACTGGAAGTTAATCTGTCATCTCTTTCAAGGTCATGCCATAAATCTACGAATCGTATCCACCCACGCAAATTATTTGTTCTTGTTTTTCTCATCACTAAGATTTGGGCCTGACTGACGTAAATTGCTGTCTACTAATTTTGCCTAGCAGACAGCTCTCACTACATTAGCAGCACACGCCACAGAATGAGTGAATGAATGATTGGAATTGTACACTTTGAATATTGTGTTAATACATCTCTCTCTTTTTCTATTTTTTGTACATTTTACCTAGGTGACTTATTTATATGTCCAGTTGGTGATTCATGGTGGCGTGGTTATGTTATCAAAAGTCTAATGATGAATACAACAGATACGCTGATATCACAACCGAGTACATCAAAAATGACAATTGACCCATCGGTGTTATACGCATCAACAACTTCTTATTTGGTTCGTTGGTTAGATGAGAATGAACCATCTCTAAGTAATAATAATACAATAATAGATAATATGAATAACCTTCAACACGGTAATGATGGCATTATGACATCATTAGAAAAGTTACCAGAGAATTATGATCAATTAAATGCATGGGATATGTATAAATGGTATCCAGAAAGTAGTGAAATGATGAATGGTGGAACACTAACACCACCAACAACAACATCAAAGGAAGATAGCACCACCTCTTTAGGTATGTGGCCTGTATTCATCTCATACACACACACTGTGTGTGTGTGTGTGAAACTTTGTTTATTACTTTATTGTATGTGTGTTGGGTATATTCACACGTGATTCACACGTTCAGCAAGCAGCAGAGGTTCATCGGTGAATCTGTTAGCTGACATAGGATGAGGTTGGGAAAGAGCCAGTGATGGTCAAACCAAAGCATGGCTTCATCAGTCAGTGAAATTCACAACTGTTCGTTTAAGCCAGCCACATAGAAAGGTGTAGACTTCCCGATTGGTTGAGGTTCTCGGGGCGGTAAAAACCAATGAAAGCTGGAGAAGATTGGTGGTATGGCTGAAAATCATCGTTGTCAATGGCGTAGATGCATCCGCTCCTTGTGACTTATAATATCCAATAAAACTATAAGGTTCTTCGATATTACTATTGTTTTTGCCTCATATCTCTGTTTTACATTTCTTCCTACTCTCTTCTGTTGCTCTATGTGCTACGTGAAGTGTGGCGACTCGAACTGGTGCACATCGGTGCAAAGTTGTATGTTGAAACCAGTCAGTCAGTCGAGTGAATCTGTTCCACTGCTAATGAACACGCCACTACCCCAGTAGAATTGTTAGTTTTGTTTTTAATTCATGGAAAATTCTCATTGGGATATATAGAAAGTCAAAAGAAGTGATTCAGTGAAGAGACTCTTTTCAACGAATTTATTATCAAGTTCTCTACATCCTATAGGTGTCTGCGTTCTATCTCCCATGTTAAGTGGTATGGGTAGGGTGAGTAATATTGAGGTTAGGCATCGGTCGAGTTCTAGGTAAGGGGGGGGAGGAAAATCAATCGATGAGGTTGTGAATCGACAGCGATTGAGATGGTTAGGACATATGTTGCATATGCTGTATGCCTAGTCATCGCCTTATTCGACCCACAGTGTTGGCTGGCCGAGTAGAGTCAGACTGGAAGAAAGCTTATGGTGGTCAAACCAAAATATGCCTTCGTCAGTCAGTGAAATCCATCACAAGCAATAAAGGTTAATAAAGCAGAATTTAATGAATTCATCAAATTTCGGTAGAACTCGTCAGCTGAATACTCTACATACACGGATATATATACTTTTGAAATTACATTGAGAGATATAAGACTGATAAGTAAACAAACTACATTGAATTAATCATGCAGAAAGATACGTGCGAATGTTTCTCAGGTCATGTTCAAATAGATAAGGGGAGAGAGAGTATGAGAGATCAAAATTAAGATAAATTACATTACGCTTCAATTACATCACTTAGATAAACAATTAGTCATTAGGGAATATAACGAGAATTGCAAACAGACTAATATCAATAGTAATAGTTATAATAACAGTTTTAATAGTGTTGAAGTGAGTTAAGATAATCTCACTGATAAAGCATAGTTTTAGATGAATCAAGAATAATAATAATCATCATAATCATCGGATTTTTAACAGTCGATGTTTAAAAAGCCATCTAATTCCAAAATATTTACGTCTACGTACTCCAATTACTTCAAACAAAATAACATCAGCCGCAGAACATGTCAGTAAATTATGTCTAAGAGAAGAATTACATCGAGTTACTGTAAAACTGAATAATATACGAAATCAAATTGAAAAACTCAAACACAAACTCAGATGTATGATCAATGACAAAGATTACATAATTGTTGTTGAAACATCCAACAAATCTTGAGAATCCGCATTAAGAAAATCAAAAATCACTCAAATCAAAAAATTCAGCAAACTAATAGAAGAAAAGAACACAACAAATGAAACTGATATCAATGCTTCATCCTCTATTGACAGAACAAAGTGGGTGATCAACCTCTCATCAAGAGAACTAAACTCTAATGAGATAAAAGTACTTGAAAAAGGACTAAATTTCAACGTAACAGTTAATAAATTAAAACCAGAGGACGTCATTCCTAACATAGAAGCAGCACTAAACTCAATAGATAAGACTACAGCAGAAGAGGTTCGAGCACAATGTGCATTAACCCTAAAAAATCAAAAGAAAACAAAATCAAACTTAACAAAGTCGGAAAGGGAAGCTTTAATTAGTCTTAAACAGGTTAAAAGCATTGTCATCGCAAAAGCTGACAAAGGAAACGCCACCGTAGTTTTGGATAAATCTGACTACATCAAAAAAGTTGCTGAACATATTCAAACGGGTCCATATGAGGAAATTAAGAAGCCTGTAGACACAATAATGAATAAGGTTAAGAAATCTACAGCGGAACTAATACGCAGAATGAAGCTATCACTGGGTGAGTCTAAATGGTTTAATTTAATGCCTAAAACTAATAATGCTAGTAGAATATATGGTACTATTAAAATACATAAGCCAGGTTACCCCATAAGACCAATAGTAGATTTTAGAAATACCCCCACGTATGAATTATCAAAACACTTAGCTGTAGCAATGGGATCACCAATATCCCCTATCGTAGCAGACATATTTATGGACAGCTGGGAAAGTAGTGCTCTTAATACGTTTAACCCTACTCCAAAAATATGGTGGAGATATGTGGATGACACTTTCACGGTGCTAAAAACAGAACATATCTCTAGCTTCCTGACACATATAAACTCACAAGTAGAGGGAATAAAATTCACATTTGAATCAGAAAATGAGCAAGGAGAATTAGCTATGTTAGATTGTAAGATAAAAAGAATAGAAGAAGGCATACTACACACTAGTGTTTATAGAAAACCAACGCATTCTAATAGATATTTAGACTTTAATTCGTCTCATCCTTTAACTGTTAAGGCAGGCTTAGTTAAATGTTTAACAAACCGAGCAGTGGCACTAAGTAGCACAAAAAAAAGATCTAAATGATGAATTAAAACAGATAGAAGAAGCGTTGGTGTTGAATAACTATCCTATAAACTTCATTAGGAAGATCATTAAAGGCCAAAAACAAAATAAAAATAATTATGGAACTAGTAATAATAACATAAATAAAAGAGAATATAAATCATCCACAGTTGTACCATATAAAGAGGGGACATCTGAGACACTACGTAGGATTCTGAATAAAATAGGAATTAGGGTGGCATTTAAACCTACAAACTCACTCAGGGACAAGCTCTGTAGGTTAAAGGACCCAGTTGACCCAATTAGACAAAATAATATTATTTACAAAATACCATGCAATGACTGTGAGGTCAACTACATAGGTCAAACTAGTAGGTCAGGGGTAGTCAGATTGTCAGAGCATAAGAATTCAGCTAAGGTAAGAATGGTTGACCCTGAGAAGATAAGTAATTTAGAAAAAAGCTCAGCAATTGCAATGCATACGCTAACACACAACCACACAATAGGGTGGGAGAGGGTTAAAATTCTAAAAAGTAATCTAGGTAGGTGGAGAGAGAGGTTGATTACTGAATCACGGAATATACACATTGGGTCATAGGAGTAAATAAGAAGACAGTTGCAGCGAAGAAAATTTTCTTTTCGACGAAGTCATCATCTAGGCTGTACGTTCGTGTATTTATATCAAATGGATGGGAAAGTTCCAGAATAATATCCGGTCAAGGGTCAAATTAATAAAAATTAAAATTGGGAATTAGAATGCCATAATAAACAGGGGGATGGATAAAACAAACAAAATAGCATTAAAATAACTAAGAAGACTGACATTGTGCAATTAGGGGTTAGAAATGTAGAAATAACAAAATAGACAGGATGTTTGGATAAAAACTAATGTGATGAATAATTGTTTATGCAATCAGGAATTAAATGTGTAGAAATAGTAAAATGACAAAATAAACACTAAGTTCGGGTAAGAAAATATGGTAGTGTAAACAGGGATTAAGAAAAACTTGAAATAACATGAATAAACAGGAAGTTTAGATAAGAAAGGCGATGGGATGGTGACTACTAAAAATTACTTGTTTACGATGGCCATGGCAAGGACAGGGGTTGGACGTATTTCTTTTGTATACAAAGCGTGGGTTTGAGCTTTTGTATAGCTAGCGCCTCGGCTATGCCCAGATGTCTTGATTTAACTCCCTTTGATGGGTTTGATCGAATCTTGTAAATGATTTTGAAGGATTTTTCGAGTGGCGCTGAATGTCCTGAATTCACCAGGTGTTCTGTCACCGAACTATTTACCCGTTTTCGTTCTCCTTTTACTAGCCAGGCTGGATAGTGTTCACGAGCGCGTTTTTCAAGTCGGCGCATGGTACGGCCAACGTACTCAGCTCCACAAGAGCAATCCTTGTTCATCGAGTCTACACCCAATACATGCAATAGGAATGACTCGTCACTCATACCTGAAATATGGAAAATACTATTACCAATCATATCAAGAGAAAAACAATGGAACTATATAAATGAATTTAGGAAGTCGTGTGATTACCTTGATATGATTATGAGCAATAAATTGTGCTCGAAACGTCATCAGTAAACATTACTGTATAACACTGTGAGACTTTATCAAAACAAAATTTACCCATAATGGAATAATAATGGTAATAATAATAACAATAATAGTAAGAAGAAGAGGTAGAATAATAACAAGTAGAGAATAAAACGTATTACCACGGTAGATTAAGAGTCACGACCATCTCCTTTTGTATATAGAGAGCTGATTTATAAATTCGAATTGCACAAGCCTCTGCAATTGCAAGCATCTTCTTGTTTCTTTGTTGGCTGACAATGGTAAATGACTTGACTGCGTCGATATCATGTCCGTAATCTACAAGATGTTTTGTTATTGAAGATTTTGGCACTTTGCACCCAACTGTTTTTAACCATTTCGGCATATGCTCCATCATGCAAGTAGACAATCGCCTTTCCGTACGACCTATGTATTTGCTGCCACAAACACACTCAAACTGATATATGCAGTTTGAAGTGTCAAGGATTGGCGACTGGTCTTTCCCAGATTGTTGTCTTTCTGCATGATTAATTCCATGTAGTTTGTTTACTTATCAGTCTTATATCTCCCAATGTAATTTCAAAAGTATATATATCCGTGTATGTAGAGTATTCAGCTGACGAGTTCTGCCGAAATTTGATGAATTAATTAAATCCTGTTTTATTACCCTTTATTGCTTGTTTTAAATTCGTATCGGGAAATAAATGTTTTCAAATCCATCACAGTTAGTTTAAGCCAACCAGCCAGCCAGGTAAGGAGGTGTAGACTTCCTAACTAACTGGTTAGAGTCTTCAGGATTCTAAGAACCAGTGACTGTAGACAAATAGTGATGTGGCTGAAAGTCGTTTTCAGTTACTCATGGATTTGTGATTTGTCATACATAGTAAGGCTCTATGCTTTCATATTATTGCTATTCTTTTCGCCTCACTCACACTTGTGTTTATTGTTTCCATTTTGTTGAATCTCTCATTACTTTCTCTTCTCTTGCTTTATGTGCTACATGGAAGGAGTGTGGCATCTCAGATTGCTGCACATCTGTGCAAAGTTCTACGTTGAAACTAATTAGTCAGTCAGTGTATACATCCTATGTATTTCTCTAAATATGACGTTAGTGGTTTTGCCAATTCACACTGAACTGTGATTATTTTCATAGGCCTTTTGTTTGTATTTCATATTATTATTATTTCATGTATAATATAATATGTATTATATTATTTATTCTTTAACGTACCCAGTGAAACATATGGCTTTGAGCTAGATGTGAGTTAGGGGAAATAATGTTCAGGAAGGCTTCGTGTGCTTTTGGAAGTGTGTGGCCGGTTGTTACTTCCCGGCCGCCCACACCGTGGAAGTTCATTAAATCTTCGGGTGCTTGAAACAGAGAAAGGGTTAGTGTTGTGTGATCGCAGAGCCCAGGGAACAACTGCTTGAGGCCGGTCACACACGGCCTGTATGAACTGGTTTCTGGGATTGGTTACGTATTAGTAAACTTACTGCCGGTTACAGACCACCGTAAGGTAAGTCGGGATGTACAATTTTCGGGACTGACCTTTTCTAACTCCTTCTCTCCAGCAAAGTGGAGAGATAGCATAGCTGGCTGGCATGCTGGCCATCTGAGGGAAACACCTCACTGCTGTTACACCCCTGTTCCCCAGCAGTACGACTTCGCCCTCAGACCCCCAGCATAGTGTAAGAAAGATTCTTACAACTGATTTTAGTCTAATCGCTATCATAACAACCTTCCTGGTATGGTAGGACCTGCAAGAACATATGTTCCAGCCAGTGTAACTTGTTGGGTCATGGCGATGTGCAAGCCTGACCACCACGTCAAGGTAGCAGCAATCACTCGGGCTTTAAGCTAGAGGCCTGAAGTTTCGATAGCATTGGTGTTTAATTTTACAAGATGAGGTTGCCAACCCCTCATGCCTAACCTTGTCTCTTTACCAGTCTGGCCTCACCGAGGTAAAGGTGTACGTCAGTCGGGGATCGAACTCCGGACCCCATCAGGCGTGGTTGGCGAGCATTCCTACCGCTGTGCCACTGATGCACTAGTCATACATATATATGTATACGATTGTTCTGCTTGATAATGAATTCGCTGTAAAGAGTCGCTTCACTGAATCACTTGAGTTTTTATTTTTAAATTGTAAGTTCGTTCACTTTTGTTGTTGTTGTTGCTCTTTTTTTCACTGCAGAATATACTTTGTCCGGAGGTCTACTTAATGGATATGTGTATATTTCACATGAACAACTGTGTCTTCTCTATGGGACTTCAAAATATTGGAATGTAACTAATCAATCAGATGGTGATTATCTATCAGAAATGAAACGTATTGTTGACTGTATTGCTCAGGTAGAGGAGTTGATTATTGATTATTGTGCTACAGCGCTTATTTATTATTTTGCATTACAATTGCCTTTGCACTTTTATGCATTTATGCGTTACTTTATCATTATTCTATTTTATTTACTACACAATAGCTGGTTCAGTATAAGCACCAAGAAGATGCACCACACCAGGATATTAAAAGGACAATAGCATACGTGAAAAACGTAGGTAAAGAATGAATAGAAGGCTTTCATCCAGAAACGAAGGAGCTATATTTAACATGATCAAATAACATTCGTCAAATCATTGTCAGAAAGGCAGGAAAGGAGGAAATTGCAGCCTGTTTGCCATCGGTGACTGCGATTCTTGGACATATCGGATAACGTTAGGAGCCATCGATTCGAGCTATCTCTTGGACGCCAGCCAGAGAGTAGTGATGAACCATTAACTGATGCTAAGCTACCACAAATATCCTTCATCCCGTGACACTGCGTTATGGGCTGACTGACCAACTCTCTGCTTTTTCCATCCCGTCTCAAGGCTGGCGGCTAGCGATCAGGGACCAGTATGGAAGCCTCTAGGATGACATTCGTTGCAGATGTCCCAACTACCGAAGCTGGTGTTTCCAGATGACGACATTTAATGAATGGTGGACTCTACTGTGTCCAGACACACGCCATCGGACCTCAGAATTACTCACACGATGATTCCAAAGAACGCAAGCAGTTGAACGGAAACAGAGATGGTCGCATACGCATTGTCACCGCATATCCTCAGCTCGGGGAGGGGGACAAGTTTCTTGGGCGTGAAGCAAGACTGCACACACGGAAGCGTTGTAAACCAGACCTTTGACAACCATGCTAACGTCACGACGGATTCGGAGGTGGCTCAAATTAGCGTATGCCACTCTTGCTTTTATGATTCCGTTGGAAATCTCGGCAGTCACATCTCTGTGAGCATTCATACAACTACCCAGATACACGACGTTACCGACGACTTCGAGTGGTTTATCTGCAAGAGTAAGTGCAGGTACAGGCTCCTGACAGCTAATCTTGTAACAGTACTTTGCACTTGGACGGCACAGAGCACATACTATACTTGAAGACACTGGTTGCCAACTGATTAAGTGCGATTTAGACAGTTTCATGCTACTGTACAGTAAGACAATATCACCTGCATAATCGAGATCAAAACGTTTTTCTCTAGGAACCAGATCTACACCACGCACGTCCTTCAGAGCTGACTCCATTATATCATCGATGTTAAAGTTAAAAAAAGGGATGATTGGGTAACTGGCAATGTAGCAGTTATCACCAGGGATTTCTTTGCTTTATTGGTCGTTCGGATATTGTTTTTGTATATATGATGATTGAAACAAATATTTAATTCCTCTAAAGGTGCTTTGCTGCAGTGTCGTCAATTTAGGACTATTGCACTATTCTATTGTGCATTGGTGGCACAGCGGTAGAATGCTCTCCTGCCACGCATGTTGTTAGGGGTTCGATTCCCGGGACTATTCTACTTGTGTGATAGAGAGTGTTGACTACCACTTCGCTTATTTGTGAAGTTGCAGCATCATTTCCAACGGGCTGTTTGTTGACGAAATCTCAGCACTAATTCTGAAGCCTCATGTAGTATTCGCCAACCTACGTTATCTTTGATGTGGACGTGATATCCAGCCAGTTATCGATCAAGGGATATTTGCATAAAGTTGCAGTACGCATCATCCTCCTTTATGTCTGTGAGATATGACCATTGGAAGTGAATGACATAAAAAGGCTGGCTAGCTTTTTTGATCGTAGGCGTCTGTGTTCTATCTCCCGTTTTAGGTGGTTTAATATGGCTACTAATACTTAAGTTAATCGTCAAGGTTAGGTAACGAGGGAATATCAATCGATGAGGTTATCGAGCTACATCAATTGAGTTGGCTAGGATATGTGTCACGCATGTCTGCTTGTCGTCTTCTTCGACGGACAGTATAATTTGACATAAGATCAGGTTAAGAAAGAGCTAGTGTTGGTCAAACCAACACTTTCAATCAGTCCATAAAATCATTGGCCCTTAGTTTGAGCCAAGGAGGTGTAGACTTCCTGGTTTGGGATGCTCAGGATGGTAAGAACCGATGACTAGAGACAATTAGTGATATGGCTCAAAATCGTTCTCAAAAAAAGACGTAATTAAACAGAAAATTGATGACCTTAATGGTCTACGAGCTCTCCTTGTAACCAAAAGGTCCTTGATTCGAACCCCGATGTGTGCGTACTGATGAAGAGACCCAGACTAGGACGAAACAACTGACTGTCCAGTACTCTCTGCAGGTTTTCCAATGGTTCTCAAACCGATGTCAGCTCATGATGATGTCCTCCAACCAATCTAAGATGCTTGTTCAGAATGCTTTAAACCGGTTTTCAGCTAATGATGATTATTTTTGTATAGACATAGAATGATTTTAATTAGTCAGTATTGAATTCATTGTCAGACATGGACCGTCGTGAACATGTGTCTCTGACCAGATATGGTGTATGAGATTTAGTTAAATAAGTGTAATTTCTTTTTTAAAACTATCACTGATATATTTCGAAAAGTATTTGTAACCCAGCTGTACCTGTACATATTTCTTAAAGATTTCCCCAATGAAGCAACTAAATAATGGTGATATCAGAATATATTAATTGTCTGTCTATGGAAGGACAGACTTCAACTTGTGACAGCATCCAGAAGTTATACTCTTTATCGTATTCCCAATGTCAGAGCACAGTGTAGCCGCATAACGGCAGTGCCTTCCTTTATATTTCCAAAATATTTCGAGGTAACTTTGAAGTCCCGCTGTAGTACTCCACGAGGTTTTCTGATATATATATATATATATATATATATATATATATATATATATATATATATATATATATATATATATAATACACAACTCGTCTGATCGATTTAACTCCGGTGCCAGTTTCGATTCAAAAACCAACTGTGCTGGCAAATCGACGGGGTGGCTATGAGTTCACCTTTGGGTCCTGTTCTTGCTGACATATTCAAGGTTCATCTTGAATAGACTCGAATGAAACCGGAAATAAAGAAAGCCACCTATTACTGCAGGTGTATCAATGACATGTTTTTGGTTTACATTAATGTGGATCACGCATCCAACGATGGTCGAAAACCTCAATGCGACTCACTGTCACTTGGCATTGATAATGGATCATAAACTAGTCAGTCAGTTATACATCCTAGATCTTAACATAACATGAAGAAATGATACGACAATTGAAAAATCCATCTATTGGAAAGAAACTTGAACTTGCCAATAGCATATAAACTCAACCTGATAAAAACGCTCTTCAGCAGAGCTGGGGCACTGTGTTTTCAGAAGATAAATTCGAAGAGGTGTGATGAGAGCTAGCCAAATTGGTAGACGGCAATTTACGTCAATGTCTATGTCCCAAATATTGGTCGTGAGAAAAATAAGAACAAAGACTTTGTGTAGGCGGATACAGTTAACACATAGATGATCTGACATTCAAGAAACAGTCACAAAGAGATGAAAGATTAACTTTCAGTGAAAAATAACCAATCAGAAGACTGTAATAATGTACATGAAAATATATAAATATGTGTTGAGTTCCTTAATAAACGATCTGTTGCCTGGCCCTTATCTTCTGTTGTAACAGAGGAACTAGCATTCATCGAAAGTGGATACCAAAATATGGGGAAGAAATATCATCTAAACCTGAAATAGTTAAAAAGAAATGTCTAGCGTAAAAAGGCGAAGAAGTATTAATAAGAACGGAAAACAGAATTAAAGGATCATTGAAAAGAACATTTCTCGTCGGACAGACTCATTCCACTTTACAACACGATGTGCTCATTAACTCGTTCAAACATAGATGAGTATTCTGCTCAACACAAGTCCAGCTGCATTTATCAATTTATCTGCACTTGCAGCAACAAGTACATAGGAAGCGGGGAGCATCTACTAGATTTGCTGACCATATTCCTAAAAGTTCCCCTTTTGTTTATAACCTCACAATTAAAGGGGCTCACTGAAAGATCTGTCTACTCTTCGTCTATCATACTCTCTTTTTCGTATAATATTGTCTTTTCTTATTTATTTATTTTTCGTTTAGGTAATGACATTGGAGATTAGTGATGATTTTATACAACCGGTTGATTTAGCAGCTTATCCAGATTATTTATTTATTAATGCATTTCCAATCGACTTGACTTTCATATTAAATCGTCTCCTGAATGGATTTTATCGTCAACCAGAATCTTTAAAATCGGATTTTATACAATTACTAGAAAATACAGAACGTTATAATCTACCTGATTCAATTATTGTGCAAAATGCTCAATTAGTTTGTCAGTTAGGATTATATTGTATTGAAAATATGGTTGATAGTGTAAGTTATCATTATTATCATTCTGGTTTTTGTTTTTTTTGTTGTCTTTTCTGTGGTTGAATATATTATCCCACAATTTCATGATATAGACTGTAGAAGATGATGGTTGGTGGGTTATATGCTACCAGCGTTTATAGCAAACCAGCACTGACTCTAATAAATACTTGGACTGTAGGCGTAGACGTGATATCCGACTATCGACCAAAGGCCGAGTGTACTGCTCATCAGTCCACTTCGAGACGTTCATGAAGCCGGCTCATCCTCTCGTAGGAGATTGCCGAAGTAAAGTAAAAGTAAGTAAGTCCTTCTTTATGGCTGTGAGCGAGACCTGGCCATTGAGAGTGGAAGACATGAAAAGGCTGGCGAGCTGTCTTTGATCATAGGTGCCTGCGCTCTATCTCCCGTGTGAAGTGATATAATAAGGTGTGCAATATTGAGATGGGGCGTCTGTCGAGTTCTAGGTAAGGAGGGGAAATCAATTGACGAGGCTGTGAAATTACATTGACTGAAATGGTTAGGACATGTGTTACGTATGCCTAATCATCGCCTTCCTCGACAATGTTAGCTGACATAGGATTGGTCAGACTGGAAAAGAGCTAGCAGGTGGTGGTCAAACTGAAAATCAATCAATATATGCATACAGTAATAAAATATGTAATAATAATAAATACTTTATCCCGAAGAATAATGATCATACACAATAGAAATTTTGAACATTACGTAATAAGATGAAACAGAGGTGAAAATATCCAGTGACCGACCAGGTTGGCAAAGAAAGACTGACAACTGTTTCTTTCTGAATGCATAAATCAGGTTTCAGGTGCTTGATGGAAATCGCTTCATCAAACTTGAGGAGAATTGAACTCTTTTACCTGTTGATAATTTTGAACGATCTTGCAACGTCCACCTCATGACTCGTGTCAAGGAGATGCCTGGCGATGCCACTATTTAGAGCATTTGTTGCCTTTGGTACATGTTCAGAAAATCGTAAATGTAAATTTGTATATACTGTTGGATTTAACATGAGAAGGATATTTATGGAGTTTTGATTGCACCAAAGTGCAAGTTGTTCGATAGACTGGAACGAACTTAGTTGCAGGATAAATAGCCTCTGCCTAGAGACGTCCTCAATCTTCTCTTGACCATTGCTGCAATACTTTCATCTTTATAATCAAGTTGAATGTGCTTTGGGCTTTTTCTCCACTGTGATTTGTTTAACGTTTGAAATTTCAGATCTCTTCTGTACTTGTTAATGAATCTTTGAGGGTAACCGTTGCTTTTCAACATCTTTTCAAATTCATTAAGCGGAATTATTATTTATTTTATTTATTTAAACGCATAAAAACTTGGTACAATATTATGGTACCAAGAAGGCTGTGCCACACAATAATAATAAAACAACATAGATCAAAAGAAAAAAAGAAAGAAGAGAAAAATATATATATATAAGTAGAGAACGGATAAAGAACTTCATCTGGAAGGAAAACAGTCATGCTTAACAAGTTCAAACAGTATTCGTTAACTATCATCGGGAAGGAAAGAAAGAAGGAAATTGCAACACGTTCGCCATTAATTACGATTCTTGGCCATATATCCGATAACGTTTCGCGCCATCGATTTGAGCTGTTGCTTCATTTGATTTATTGTGTGAAGGCTGAGATACTGCCTGGGCGCCCAGACCGAAGCAGGTGGTTTTATTAAGGGACTACCCACTGAGCCTTTGACTTAGAGTCTAATCCCCAAGGCAGCGGAGAAGCGTCAGGAGCTGCATTCCCATGGTTCCTGGTGACCCATATGGGTTCATACGCCATTTGATCCGATTGGATTCTGGAGCCCATGTACCCCATGGTAACTGCTTTTAGTTTAACCGCTATCCAGAAAACCTTCCTGACATGGTTGGATCTGCAGGGACAGAGTCCCAGTCAGTTTAGCATGTTATGTTGGGTCACTGCGGTATTCAAGCCCGACCAATACGACAAGGTAGCATTTATCGGCCACGCATTAAGGGGAATAAATGTATGAAATAGGTGGATTTAGTTATATGTCTGTATAATTGGTCGTCCAGGAACCTTACTAGTAAATTCATCAGGAGAGATTTAAATAATGAAATCAAAGACACAAAGAAAATATTACTAGTGAGTAACTATCCAACAGAATTTATTTAGAAATATATGAAGAAGCATAGAAAAACTATGATTAGTAATGAAAATGATAAGGCTAATATAGAATTGCCGTATAATAAAGAAGGATTCTCAATGAGGCTGGAATTAGGATGGCATTCATAGCAACCAAAGAGAGATCAAATTTGTCGGCTTAATGACCCCCCAAAGATCCAATTAAGGAAAATAATATAATTTACTAAATACCATGTAATGACTGTGAGTTTGGTCAATTACATAGATCAAACTAATAGATTGCCTTCCTTTGGATTATTGGAACATAAAAATCTAACTAGACATAGTGTAATTGACCCTGCTGAGTTAAATCAGCAGGCGTTGGTGGCACAGTGGTTAGGACTCTCACCGACCATGCATATGGTACAGGGTTCCATCCCCTGCCGACGCACACCTGCAAAATTTGGGCTACCGATATCACATGCTGTACGAAAAAATACGGTGTGTAATCAAGCTGTAATCAAAAAAGTAACCTAGAAAAAACAGAGCTCAGTCGTTGTATTGCATTCACTTGAATGTAATCACACAGTAGAAAGGGATAGAATGAAAGTATTAAACAGTATTACAGTTGTTTGGGTTGAGCGAGATATTAATCGATTCAACACTGCACATGTGCAATCGGAATGACGTAACGACTATGCCGGACACACTAGAAGTGGTAACAAACAGAAGTTGGAGAGAGAGAAAATATATATAAAACAAATTGTGAAGCTGTGTGACTAATTGATATGTGTATGAGTGGCATTCATTTATGCTCGAAACATCATCCAGTTGTTAGTATTACATGATTGTGTGATATTTAAAATAAACTTATCCAAGTTGTAATGATCTTTCACAATTTGATGGATTTACATTTTATGTGTTTTGGTGATCCGTATATTTTTATTTATAAGGCATTACTCCCTTACATATTGTTTCGTCTATATATTCACCGTTGAAAACAATCGAAGTTTAGAATATTTGGCCAAGGTGTACTTACCATTATGTAATTTCTATTTCCTAGATGACACACTGTAGAGGTTGATTTCATTAGAAGTGCACCAGGTAAAAAGCATAGGTCTTCCACTCGGTGACGGACACATGAAATTCATACCATATTGCTAGAAGAAGCTTGCTTCCATTTAGGGCGGATAGTCATAGTCGAATAGACAGCTTTCCTTGGTCATAGGAAATTTATAAACAATCCTTCGAGCTGCCTTTGATCTGAAGACCTGATTACTGTGTGTGTGTGTATAGAATTTCGTCAACCAATTG